TCTCTCTCTCTCTCTCTCTCTCTCTCTCTCTCTCTCTCTCTCTCTCTTAGTCTCATTGCTTTGGCTACCTTAGGGCCGCATTTCCAACACCCACGCGGTGGACAATTAAGAAGACGGACCTCAACATTTGGGTCTGATGGCCCTTTTGCAGTTCACATGACCTCACTTCTTTTTGGGGTCGACTTCCATCCGAAAATTGGTCCTTCCTTTTTTCAAAAGTCCCGGTTCTACCAGAGCTAGTTGTAGGTAGTTCGCAATTTTGTCAAAAACGTTTCCTCCAAATTGTTTTGCCCCCTAAGAACCCACAATACGTCCTGGTCGCCCGTCGCAAAAAATGCGACACTTTGACACTGACGCGGAAGCCCACTATGCAGGTATATATATTGTCTACCGCGTGGGCGTGGGGAACGCGGCCCTAAGGTAGCCAAACCAATGAGACAAAGAACTCGCACAAGAGAAAGATATATATATATATATATATATATATATATATATATATATATATATATATATATAGAGAGAGAGAGAGAGAGAGAGAGAGAGGCTGAATGACAAAATTGAAATATGGGTCAAATTGCGGCCGCAATCTATTACACAGCCGGAATGATTTTTAAATTTTATTTAGCGTTTTTCCTGGAAATATCACAACAAAATCTGCAAGTACTCTAATTTTCAGTTTTTTTTCACGCATTCTTATGATAATGAAAACTCACTGAATTTAGAGTACTTTTTAAGTTGGCCCAGACATGGCTGAGTGACAAAAATGAAAAATGTGTCGAATCGACGCGACGATTAATTCTCGGTCTAAATAATTTTTTTTTAATGTTCTAATACTTTTCCTAGAAAGAACACATCTATGAATTTTTAAAATTTTAGATTTTTCTGCGGGTTCCTCTGACCACAAAAAATCGTCAAATGTGCCACTTGCAAAATATTTGTTTCGTTGCGCCTGACCTCCTTGTTTTTAGAATACGGACTTCAACGCCTGGGCCCGAGGGCCCTTTTGCAGTTCACATGCCCTCAGTTTGTTTTGGGGTCCGCTTCCACCCTTGGACCCGTCCAACACCGCCCACTTCTTTTTGGGGTTCACTTCCACCTGAGGACCGGTCTTTCCTTTTTCCAAAAGTCCTGGTTCTACCAGACCTAGTTATAGGTAGTCCGCAATTTTGGCAGGGACCGGTTTCCCAAATTTTTTTGCCCCCCTAAGAACCCACTTTGCGTCCCGATCGCCCGCCGCCAAAAATGCAACACCTCGACACAGACGCCGAACCCCAGTAGACCGCAGCCTTAGGGCTGCGAATATATACAAGGTCACCAACCCGTACGTATGGAGGTCCGCGGGCCGACCTCCATACGTACAGGCGTTCGGGGGCCCGTTCGAGGTTCGAACCGGAAGACGTTCGGCCCCCCCCCAAAATTATTTCGACGCCTAAAAATATATATATTTTTTTCCGAATTGTTGTTTGTGAGTTCTTTATGAAGTGAGGTACATGCCTATACATTTTGAAATAATTTTGCTAAGCTAAACAAAAATAAAAAATCACCGAAGATGGTGGTGTCAAAACGTGACTATTTTGCAGTTTAGTGACTGAATCATCAATTCAATCAAATTGAATTCTAACTGTCTACGACCTCATCTATGGATTCGCAAAATTTCAGATTTTTCTCCGGGTTCCTCCGAGCAAAGAAAATCGTCAAAAGTTGCCTCTTGCAAAATGCCTGTTTTGTTGTGCCTGACCTCCCTGTTTTGAGAAGACGGGCCTCAACGCCTGGGCCTGAGGGCTCTTTTGCAGTTCACATACCCTCACTTCGTTTTGGGGTCCGCTTTCACCCGAGGACCAGTCCAACGCCCCCCACTTCTTTTCGGGGTCCGCTTCCACCCGAGGACCGGTCCTTCCTTTTCCCAAAAGTTCTGATTCTACCGTAGGTAGTCCGCAATTTGGCAAGGACCGGTCCTCCAAAATTTTTTGCCCCCTAACAACCCACTTTGCATCCTGGTTGCCTGCCGCCAAAAAATGCGACACCTTGATACAGGGCATACGCACACACAGGGACCTATAATCTCAAAATCCCAAAAAAAAAGGGGAAAAGGCCGGTCACACGGATCTACCAAATTCACAAATGTACTATTCCAATGCCCATTTGTCAGCGGCTGGGAAGCCGCGGGACAAGGGATTTTGCGGTCACCTCTTTTTTTTTTTTTTTTTGAAAGGGCAATGGCCTTGAGGTATTATCATCCGATTAACCAGCCCAGGTAAATTCAATCTTGTGTCCCTGACAACGGTGGCCTTTTCAGCCCAGGGTGGCCTGATAGCCTTCAGGGAACCCCCAACGGGGGGCACCGGCCAGGGGACAGCCGGTGGCAGAGGGACCGAGCATCATCTGAGTGGCCAGTCGTCGTGCCTCCCCGATTACCCCTCTCCCTATGAACATCAGCAGAGCCTGCTTTTTAATGCCAATTGGGGGGACCAACGGGCTATCTCTAGGTGGAGGGCGCCAAACATGCCCAGGAAGGTACATGAGGCCAATTGGGATTGAACCCAAGACCTCCTGAATGCTAGGCCGCTGGTTCAGCGGTCACCTCTGGAGGTGACCGCAAATTCCCTTTTTTGTTTTTTGCATTTTCTTCAGAAATTGGCAAAAATTCGTTCACAAAAGTTATTGCACAATTGGTGGATGGCGCCCTGTGACCAGCCAAGTACCAAATCCCCATTTCTCCAGACGGCTGCGGCCTTGTCCCATCTGAAAAGGTACAGCAGTGTGACGTGAACCATGCCCAAAAACCTCAAATCGGCCCTTCCCAAATCCGCATATTTTGCGGATTTGGGGTCGCCGTGTGAGTATGCCCACATACGCGGAAGCCCACTCTACCGCAGCCTTAGGGCTGCGAGTCCAAACCGTCGATCTGACGTCTTTTGGCGGCCCGATCGACGGTTGGGGAAAGGGCTGGTGCCGGTCGAGAGGTAGATCGCGTGGCCGTCTGCTGTCACGTTTGGACGGGTAATCGTACGGACAGGGCGTGCGAAAGCGGCCGGAAGCGGACCAGCCGGTAGTGATTCTCCTCCCCAACGGGGCGTAGGAAAGCGGCTTCGCGAGAGGAATAGCGATGGCGACGATCTCGAACGGCTATCTATGGTGTTGCCGATTCGCCTGAGGTTCGTGGAGCAAACCGAAGTGCATGATCGTTTAGAGCAGCTTTTGACGGTTGGACGTTGTATTGTGTTTCAGTTACCGTGTCTTGTCCAGCCCCCTTTTTTTTAATAGCACTACCGCCGTTAGTTGTGCGCCGCTATCACTATTACTATTAGTTGTGCATGAAAGACTAAGGGATTCGCCAACAGAGCGGAGCAATTCGGACAGCAGTGATTTGTTTCCGACAGTTGTCCACGGCGCGGAAGAAGGGAGTAGAGGAGGGGAAGTCGCGGCGCGAATTCATGGAGAGTGGGGGAGGAGGAGGAGGAGGAGGAGGAGGAGGAGGAGGGGGCGGCGGAGGAGTGGGTAAATCGAAGGAAGATGTGTCTCTGCCGAAAGGTAGAAGGCGAATGGCTATCGACCCAGATCGAAACTGAAATGCGCTCTCCCCATTTCTCAGCGTCGACGCTCTTTCTTCGTTGATTTGTCTGTCTCTGCTAATTACTGTAATCCAATCAACGCTCCCGCTAATTACTACTGATGAGGGTCTGTTGTGTTCGGGGGAAGACGTCAATGATGGATAGATAGGTTAGGAATCGCTGGATTCCTTGGGAAAGAAAAGGAAAGGGAAAAAAGAAGTAAAGAAGGGATTGTGTGTGTGTGTGTGTGTGTGTGTGTGTGTGTGTGAGAGAGAGAGAGAGNGAGAGAGAGAGAGAGAGAGAGAGAGAGAGAGAGAGAGAGAGAGAGAGAGAGAGAGAGAGAGAGAGAGAGAGAGAGAGAGAGAGAGCTGCTGCTTAAAGGCGAGCCTCGAACCAGAAGGGGGGAGGGGGGGCGGGCGTGAAGTCACCAAATCAACGAATAAAGGAACGCTTGTTTCCCATGTATGTAAGTGCACCATGGATTGACGCGACGTGCTGTGAGAGAGCAACGAGGCTTATCACCGACGAGATGTGGGGACAACATAACATAGGATGTACTGCCATGTGGAAGACAACTGTTAAATGAAAGGCGCAAGTAAGATATAATCGAGCGATCTCCGCGCTGATGAATCTATATTTAGGCGCGTCCATCTCACTAGATCAACTTTTGGATATGCTAACAGTAAACGAGAGCAATTGGTTTTCGCATGCAGAGGAGTTCTGAGACCAATTTCCGCGCGCGGCCCGTGCATCTCTCCTCGTTCATCTCCCCACCTTCCATGCCCCGCACCGCAGTCCCCTCTTCCAAAATTCCCTTCTCTCCTTTTTCTCTTACTGACCCTCGGGTTATACTCCTACCCTCTTCCCTCGAACACAACGCACCCTTATTTTGGCTGCCTCTGGCCGGAAATATAGCTTGTATACTTTCATTTTTAGGGTGCGTTATGTTCGGCGGAAGACGGTAGTGCAATTCCCCGTCCATATGGCCGCCATCCTCGTCCCGGGTCCTTCTTCCCCCTCTCCCCCCCTCCACTCCCCTTCCATCCTACAGTAGTACTTCACGCTTCCAATATCCTCTCTCTCCCACGACTTTTCCTCACTCGCTACTCTCGTCGATCCTCGCGTTACTCCCCTTGTCCGACTCCCTTCTGTCCATTCCTCTCACCCTGCTTACCGCTTCCAAAGTCTTGTGTCTCTCTCCCTCTTCTTGGCAATCTCTTCCCTATTCCAGCTCCCCCTTTAGCCCATTGCTGTCACCCCATTTCCTTTTCCTGGAGTTCCCTCCCCCTCCTCTCGTTGGCAATCTCAGGCGTGGTGTACTTTCACTCTCCTGAAGCGCGTCAGATGAACTACCCAGCCGCAGCTATATCTGTATCACAGCGAGCCGGGGAAGCAGGGAGGGTATCAGCCCTTGTAGTGCTCGTGGAGGAGGCAGGGAGGGTGATCGGGTTACAGCTCTGCGGGTGTGCGCGCTGCGTATGTTCCCCGGAGAAGGGTGGCGTACAAGAAGAAGCGACGATGATTACCTTTTCTTCTTGAGAATCACGAACGAGGATTAGATCGATCTCATCAAAGGCCTGCGATGATTGACAAAACTCGACGATCATCTTTTCTTCTTCTTGAGAATCACGAACGAGGATTAGATCCATTTCTCAGCATTATCGCGCTCGCACACGCGAACGGCGTCAGGCAATAGAAACGATCGACTTTCCATTGGCATAGACCAGTTCATTTGTCGCTTTCCATTGGCATAGACCAGTTCATTTGTCGCAAGAGAGGGGGGCTCCATGTAGTGTCGATTCCCGTGTCAGGTAGGTCCACGATAGTAGCCTCCTGCTCGCCGTCCCTTACGTACTGATGGTTTGTACCAAGAATCTGGCGGGTCTTCAACGTTCAGGTTCAGGATTTGCACTAGGAGGTAAGGTTCAGGATTTGCACTAGGAGGTAAGGTTCCGGATTTGCACCAAGAGAGAGATTGGTTGGTGAGGGGGGGGAGGGGGGTCAAGCAGGCGATCTGTATTGATTTGGCGGACTGCGGGGGGGTAACTCCCAGCAGCAGGTTCAGGATTTTCGCTGGCGGGGGTTAAAAGCTCAGGTTCAGGATTTGAGCTACCTTCTTCCCCCGAATACAACGTACGGTCATTATAGCTGTATTTTTGAGGCATCTTTCAGTCTAGATATAGCTGTAATGACTGTACGTTGTATTCGGGGGAAGAAGGTAGGAGGTGAGGGTGATTCGGAGGAAGAGAGATTCGTCGGGGAGGAGGGAGGGAGGGAGGGAGGGAGGGAGGGAGGGAGCCCAGCTGGGGATCTGTGTTGATTAGGCGGTGTCAATCAAGAGGGACGATCTTCAAGGCTACTGTCTTCCCCCGAGCACAACGCACCCTCATCATGAATCTGGGGGCATTTCCTTCTAGGAGCATTGCCGATGATAACCGTAGTGTGGTGCTTAAAAGGTGGTATGCAAGGGAAGAGAAAGAAAGGTTAGGGCTTTTGACTTGATGAGATGATGGCGGTCATAAACATAATCGGACTGTCCAGACGGGGAGAGCGCGCAGGTATCCCGACCTGGCTTGCCGGATTGTCTACCGTAGTGGTCGAGTGTCTGCCTTGCTAGGTCCGCGGTCGGGATCTCGCCGCGTTCCGATGTGGATTTTCTTCGATTCTTTCTTTATTCCGATCTGGATTTTCGCAAAAAAAGCACGATCGGGATCTCGCCGCGGCCTTTGTCTTCCCGAGTAATCCTGGATATCGCTTGGTGGATCAGATCAGCACCGTTTTTTTTTTTGTTTTTTTTTTATTTGCAAGTTAGCACGGGGCTTGGAGAGCACCCAACGGCATCGAATAGCGAAAGCCAATTCTATGCCTACCCTCTTCCTCCTGGGTACAACGCCCTTGTCATTATGACTCCTATGCATTTAGAGACTGAATGCGGCGGCATGGTAGACTGGTCGGGTATGGAATTGGAAGGTAGAGGCTGGCGACATGCGCTCCTTACAGTCTTCACCGGGAAAGTACGCATGGTCATTACATCTGTATTGGGGCCAAATTCAGGCTACATGCAGCGACAATGACGGTGCGTCTTATTCGGGTGGAGGTGTGCGAGAACTGGATTACCCGTCGTGAGAGGGGCCGTGCAATAGTCGAAAATGGAATGTTTCTGTTCGTCTGCTTCTCTGCGTCGACCGGTCGCAAGACGAGCGTGACATGGCGATGTTGGTACTCTTACGGGCAAGATCATGGATACCGGTCGGCGTCCGGAAAAGACCGGTAGGTAGGGTGTCTTACAAGGCAGATCTCAGATCATGGCGACCGGTCGGCGTCCGGAGAAGACCGGTAGGTAGGGTGTCTTAGAAGGCAGATCTCGTAGGAGGTCGTACAAGGAAGATGAACTTGAGAGCCAAGTCGTTCGGCGAGTGCTATGGTATTTATGGGGCGGGGCAGATTCCTTGGTCGCGTTTTGAGCTACGTGCACGTCTGAGCAGGTGTTTGATGAAGATCGTGTTTCCTTGCTTTGGATGGCTATACCTTCTTCACCCGAATTTAACGCCCGGTCATTATGGCCGTATTTGGGGCAACTTTCTGTCCAGATGCAGGGTTAATTTCGGGTGAAGACGTCAGAGATTGGCCTCGTTAGTCTCATATTTTCTGTGTGGTGATTTCGGAAAAGAACTCGTATAGAAGGAGACTATCGGTAGGGGCGCCTTCCGAGCAAGATCGGGGCTTAGGTAGCTGTCTTTGGTACCGATAACAGGCAGTACCTCACTGCTAAGAGGCAGGTGTTATCTTCTTCTTTTCTTCGTCTTTTCCTTTTCTCCTTCTCCTTCAGGGTCATGAGGTTAGCCCCCGGAGGACGATCGGAGCGCAACCGATCGAAACGCTACGAGGTTAGCCCCCTGAGGATGATCGGAACGCAACCGATCGAAACGCGTCGAGGATTGTGCGCGTGAGCTGAGATGAGTGCGCGCTGCTATGTATTGAAGAGCTTTCGAAGCGTGTACGAAAGGCAGTTGGCTACTGTTCTCCACTATTCTTGCTCTTCCTCTCCTCCTCCTCCCCCTGCTTGTTCTTTCTCTTCTTCTTCTTCTTCTTCTTCTTCTTCTTCTTCTTCTTTGGTATGGACAAGCAGCAGGATGTGGATGGATTGGTAGGGGCCTTACCGGCCAGGCCGATTTGAAGATCCACGTCCATGCCTCCGATGGTGGGTGCGTGCGTGTGTGGTGGTGAAGGAGTGTGCATGCTATAGATAGCTACCAGGTAGGTCAAGGTTTTTCATACGCTTGTTTGTTTTCTATTATGTCTTGGATAATGGAGAGAAAAGGGGTCTGTCTGCCGCTGGTCTTGGCTAGTAGAGGTGTTTCCAGCCAGCATCGACGCGAAAGGTGTGTCTGTCTGCCGCTGGTCAGGGGTGCCGTCAAAGTGTGCGGGTGTGCTGCTTGCCGCTGCGTAGATGGCTGCGTGTGCAGCCTATATATAGACTAAGTCGAGGCGGGCTTGGGGTGCCCTCCGTTGCTGGTAATAACCGCCGCAGTGCGGTACAGTCTCCGCGCTAATTTAGAGCGCGATCATCATAGCTCTATTTGGGGCAGCTTTCTAGATACACA